TGAAAAATGTGATGTACGTTTGGTGCCATGAGAACAAATTGACCAATGGCAATTAGAAAAGTTTTGTGCAAATTTGCTGGTCATTATGAATAACACAACAGCCTCCATTTACAAAATTTATATCCTTCTTTTTTTCATTCAAATTAAAAAATAAAACAACAGCATTTCTGAAAACCCACGATCCGCTAAAAAAAAAAACCATGTGTGGATAGAGGGAGATTTCAAAAAAGCCATTTTATTAAGACAAATTTCTTATAAAAAGGGCAATTCTTGAAGGGGGGGAGTTTGAAAAGATACATAAATATATTGACAGTCCTATTAGCGATTTTAATGGATTAACAATTATCAGTTTCCAGAAAAAACTTCATAAAGCCGGTAACTTCAATCTTTATAAGCTGATCATGAACTAATACTCTAATGGTTTTTTTTATTCCAGAAGCAGACAAAAACGAAGTACAGACATTTGACTAGTATTTCAGCTAACACAGCCTGTTAACTGCGAACATAGAAAACTTAAAACTTTATCTTATACATATTTATAAAGTAAGAAGCAGAAGCCAAAACGCATTAGGTTTGTTTCAATTCCCAGGGACAATATGCGCATATATGCCTTCTTAATCCTTTGGTAAAATAATATTGGTTTTTGTGCAGAGAACGCGACTGGAATTGTATTGAAGACAAGTACTCAGTTCGACAATGCCGCAAATTTTCAATTACCACAAAAGAGGATGTCGATGGCAAGTAGCCGATAAGAATAGTCTATACCCACGTTAGATAAGGTATGAAATACAGGCAATCTTTATTTCTGATTTTACAAGCAATTGGCGAAAACGTCGAAGAGAATGATAACTGATTCGAAGCCAGAAAGGCCAGCAACAGATTTACAAATATTATGTTTTTCAATCGTCACTGACGACATTTTTAAATCCACTGTAAACCCGATAAAGGATCGCTCAAATTCTTATTTAGGAATTAAGATATATAATTCGATACTTAAAAAAATTTTCCAATCGACAACAGTGCTATAAAATTGCCTCACGCAATATAATTGAATCGATATGTTATATATAAGATAGAGTTTTAAAATTATTAGTCTTTTAACTCCTACGCCTGTACAGATGTGATATATGATTTATTTAACCGTCATGTTTATTAAAGGCCTCGGACGACAAAATGTTACTGAATTGTTGTTGCACCTAGTTTGATGTTGGTCTTTCTGGAAATAAAATGAATATTCTAATTTAACAAGTTTTTCTTTTAACCTATAAATTGTGCCTCCTAGAGCGAATGTTTCCCGTAATCTCTTGAAGTTCACCCTCCCCTTCTGTCACGACTGAATTTTTTCAATCCTCCCCCCCAAAAATGATACTCAGGAATGAATGTTGTGATTGTTGTTGATTCTTCATCAGCACCTTGTTTCCATTGATGGAGGGCTGATAACTGAAGCATTTGTACATCATGATCCTCGAAGTTGTTCACTGACATAAACGCCTTTTTTCCTAATACTGCACTAGCTACACGCGGTTGAAAAATAAGCAAATCAAGCTATACAAGATCCAGCTGCTACTACAATAACAGTTTTTATCGTTTAACACAAATTTACATCGCTGAGCGATTCAGAAGTTGTAAATGAAAAGACTTCTAGCTATCGCTTAAAATATCTTTGCTTTTGATAAAATACAATAGTCTGAATGGTGGGTGCCTGCTTCTTTAATGAGCTACTGCAAAATATATCGACTTAGCAATCATGTAAAACCCAAGGGTTTGGAGAGCGTCGACTTGAAGGACCTTCGTAACAGTGAATTCCCCTTGTTATAACGAAAAGACTGGCGATCAAAACGCCGGCTCGATCTGGTTAAATCTATCTTAGGTTCCAATCAGTTTAACGTTTTCTCTTTTAATATCCCATCAACGAAGGACCATTCTTTAAAAGCTGATCAAAACTAGGCTCAAGATCTGAACTCGCCTATACCGTATTGATACGAACTCTACGTCAGTGATATTTGGGAAAGATGAAAGCAAATTGATTACAGCTTAAGACATCTGCTATATATAGCTGAATGCAAAACTGATGTTTTTATTACACAAAATTAATGATTAATTCCTAGGTTTTTAAATTGCATAAAAGGTTTTTTCAAACACATCCTGTCATCACTAGTTTTATGGGTAAGGCAAAGCAGACAAATTTTGCTAATTCATTTACTTTCTCTTGGAACCGATATTTCTATTCGTTTTAATCAAAGGCGCTGCAAAACACTTCATGTCATCCAGTTTGACACCTAAAAACAATTCTTTCTTTGTCAGTATGCGTAAAAGGCAAGTAAACGTTTATTCGATACTTAGTGCGTGCGAATTAACAGCTTTTACCTCAAGGAAATATCAACAGCTAAAACTTCTTCCACCAAGTCACATGGCAAAATTAAAAGGGGAATTTAACTTTATGAAATCACAAAAATTGATACCTTATTTTATGGAACCTCTACCGCGAGACAATTTGAAGGTTGGATTGTAAAGTTGTTGGAAAGAACCGGACGGCCAGTCTATATTCAGTTTGTTACACATTGTTAACAATGGACTCTCAGTAATGATGAATTGTACGTTAGTTTCTTTTGTTCTTTGTCACAAAGAGAATTTCAATTTTCTGTGATAATAACACAGTGATTCTCTCTATTCACAACAGTTTCACACATCTCAGCCGATACTGTAACAGAAAATTGACCTCCAGTTCTTTAAACTTATGACATCTCGGACAGTGAAAATAAGCAAAAAGAAAAGTATTATTAAATATATATTTCTTAGATTCAAAGAGAAGGATTCATGTTACCGTATGAGACATGTTCAAAAACTTTTAAGTGGCTGAAACTCGGTGTCTCTTTCAAATATCAAAGGCTGGGGTCATGTTTTACTGAAAGCGTAGCAACCAGCACCACCCTATTGTCGGTTATACATTTTCCGAAAATTTAGGCTGTAGCTTCAGGCTATAGCGGTTGCAGTACGAGCTCCGCTAGTTGATTTGTTTGTCTACAAACCACTAGGTTTAAGGCAGTCCTTTGAAAAATCTAAGGGAAGCAATTAACAATAAATTTGAAAGAATTTGTTGTTTTCTTAAAGTGCAAGTCCACTCTTTATCATGTGCTGGATCTAGTATCACACAATTTGTGATTTTTTATTACTTTTTGTCGTCAAATGAACATTTATCCATTGTTCATTTGAATTCAGTTGGATATTGTTTTCTATAAAAGATGCATTAACTTGAACTTTTTGAAATGGCTCCTTTTTTTATTCACATTTGCCTGGCAATGACCTTACATTGATGGATTAGTATTTTAACTCAATTAAAATAAAAAAACCGGAATTTCTCTTTTTCCCACTTGATAGAAATTAATCATTTCGTCTTTTCTTCTTTTGTCCGCAGTAAGAGCAATGGTATTATAACAATAACTGGTCCCTGAAAAAAGCCAAAAGACACAAAAGAATCCTTACCACTGAAAGGGAAATAATTAGTACGAGGCCCATATGATATTTCCACATCATCATGGCGGCGTTTCGTGGGGGGCAAACTTCCCAATTACGATTGTTTAAGCTGTATTTTTTGTTAAATTCCGCCAATAAACAATATCTTGAATACTGAAAGCAGAATATTCTTTGATATTTTCGCCACCTGTTCTGTGCTGATTTTTCTATGTATATAATACCTTCAATGAAAATATTTCAATAAAGATATTGAACTTCCACTTTTACGTTTGACGCAATGACCTTTTCCTCTCAAACAGTCTATTCTTAAGTCTATAATCTTCATTAATTCAAACTAAAGTAACACTTTTAGTCATACTTTGATGAAGACATTATCTTTTTTTGCTTTTAAAATGAATATCTTATATGTATTTTCAGAGCGACCATTATGTATTTCTTTCTCCACTGAGTCAGACGTGACACAATCAAGTTCCTGGCACTAAATAGAAAAATCTCTAAAATTTGGCATTGAGAGGGGCTTTTACATCAAATATCGATCAATTTTAAGAAGCCAAAGAAAAACATTCCTACTCAATGAGCCCTTTTTTCTCTCTGTGTCTTCCTGTTTTCTTCAATTTGAGCGTCAAACGAAAACAGTTTACAGCTCGTAAATAGTTTACTCTTGGAAAGAGATGACGGTTTATTTTAAACAACGATTAACGTGTGGCAAACGAATCACATTAAACAGGAAACCGCAATTAAAGATCCACTGAGGTTTATTCAAACGCCAAAGATGCTTTCCGCATTTGCCAAGATTTAGACGTGTACATGTTCACAAAGTCTAGAGTCTCTGTTAATGGTACGATTTAAGCAGCAGGGCTTTGTATTTATGCTTTGTTTACTAGTGATTACAACACAACAGGCTGAATATACACAATGCTCTACGTTTTGGCTAACCGACAAAGTAACTTTCTAATAAAGTCCTACAGCTATCAAAAAAAACACCTCAGTAAGCAATAGAACTGCTCTAGTTCTGTTTTAAACAACCAAATTACTAACCAAAAAATAAATTCTTCACGAAATAATTTAAGCATCTGCACAAAGTAAATTAACAAATTTGTAATTATTTATACATAGTTTTCTTTGTATATGCCACCTTTTTTGTCGTAGAACTCTACAAATAATATGCTCATTTCATGCGATTCCTTATAACAGGAACAATTTCTCAATTCCACATAGTCGAATACTGTACTGAACTATATTTTACAATATATTCTTTGTTCTCGATTCGTTTTGCTCGGTGCCGAAATATAATAGATAAATCTAAGCTAATTATAACTCATCTTTACACAAGGCATCTATGCCCTGAAAAGTCTTTAAACACTGTCTTTGTAATTGTTCAAAGTCTCTGCAACTGCCAGTCTATAGACTGCGGTGCACTGGAGTTTTACATTCTCATAAGGGTTTTAGTCGGAAGACAACCACACGAGTCGGTGATTCTAACTTTGAACTGCCAAAGTTAACTGAGAAGGAAAAGCCTGCTTGAGTTAGCAGGCAAGTCTATAATTGTAAGGAAAGATTAATCTGGTGGGTTCACCAGAGTGAAGCCGATCAAAAGCGGGCGACGTAGCCACATATTCACCAGAATGGGTTGGGAAGGAGTTGTAAACGAGAGTCGGATCAAATGGACGAGGATAGACTGGCACAAGCAACCCTCCTTCTTTTTGGCCTCTGTCTGGAGCTAGTAAGCTGGCCATGTCGAATGACTTACGCTTTTCCTGAGATACTTCCACTTTCTCAGTCACTTCCTCTTTTTTCTGCTCAACGCGCTCAGGTTTTGAACATTCGAGAAACTCGTCTGGGTCTTCAGGGACGTTTTCTACCTCTTCGCTGCTTTCCGCCTTGCAGATAACAACATCTTCTTTGGACTCACTGGAGTTTCTTCTGCTCTTGTGTGATCGTTTTTGTATTCTTCTCCTTCTAAAGTCACCACGTCGGAAATCGTCATAATAAAGAGAACTGATTGCCCAGAAATGACCTTTTCCATTTGGGCTGCGACCGGCTTTGACAAAGCAGTCATTCAGAGAGAGATTGTGGCGGATGCTATTTCTCCAGCCAGTTCCCTTGTTTCTGAAGTAAGGGTAGTGAGTAAGAATGTAGTTGTAGATATCACTCAAGATAAGCTTTTCTTCTGGTGAGCTAAGAATCGCTTCAGCGATAAGTCCAATGTAAGACTGGCTCGGCTTCTCTTCATCAGAACACGCTGCGAATCTAAACTGGAATCGCTCTTTCCAAAGAGATGGATACGCTGGTCCTCCAAATGAGCACATTGGCCATAGCGGTGGGCTTGACGGCTTTAAAACATGCTCCATAGCGGAAGGGCCGAAGGTGGGAGAATACGGTCCCCAAACGGACCAGAAATGACGAGAAAAAGGCATTTGGCTTGGACTGCTATTTCTCCAGTGAAAGTCAACATCTCTTTCCCCATCAATTTCACTGGAAGGTGACTTGGGAATCATCACCGGTGTAAATGCCGATCCGCCAACATCGGTTGAAGAAATCATTGTTTTGAAGTTTAATGATGATGTTTCTTGTACCGAGTCTGTTGAAGTTCTGCGAATAATTCGGTGTTGCTTGCTTTTGTATTGAGTGCAATTGTTGTGTTGCGATGTGATTGGCTGTCAGTGTATCAATACTAACAACTGAATAATACTAATGGGTACCAGTATTGTGTTTCTGTGGCGGAATCAGCTCACCTTGAATGCTGATTCCCACTAAGAGATCGATATCATCACGTAGGCATCGAGAAGAGAGATAGCCGCCCCTGAAGAAGTAGCCGTTTCCGAATGCGTGTAAATATTTCGACCAACAACGCTTCTGAAAGCAACGGAGTAGCGCGCAGCTTGACTGGATTGGAAAGCAAGGCTCTCTAATCGCGTTTGGACTAGTGTTAATTAACATCCACGCCCCTTTTGTTTGCAGTGTTCACTAACAAGGGTCATTTTTTACCTTCACTATAATTTCCTGTCAAAACATGTCTATGTTTGTTATTCTCTTTGTGGGTGGCACCAGGAACTTCCATTGTTTACAGAGATGCAGGCGATCCAGCGAGTACGCCTTCGATAATTACTCTATTAACTAATCCTATGGGGCTCTTAAAATCGGACATAAAGCGAATCGAGAGAATTCTAATTTTCTCGCTCTTCATTTTTGGTAGCATTTTTTCTGCTTGCCACACAAACAAAGCAATTAATGTTCAGCAAATATTGACCCCAACTTTTTATGCTTTGTGCACATTTCGGAGGTGGGTCGGAACGCAATGAGTGTTTAATGTGTGTTTGATGGCCGTACAACGAAACCACATCCCGGTCGGTTTTAAATCAGGAAAACTCTTACTTAAAGGAAACGCAGCGCATTGGAAAAAGGCGTTAAGAACTCGCTTTTAGAGTAATTATTCCGGCTTTTAAAATCATGCACCATTAAAATATCCGGAGTATATTCGGCAATAAATTTTCTCAATGACACAATTTGGCTTTGAAGTGAAAGAAATTGTTTGCAGTCTGCGTTGGATAATTACTCTCTTGGCCATAGTCATGTTATTTTGCGTGTTTTTGAATAAACCATTAGCGTATTTAAATAAACCGTAAAAGCATATTGTCTCTTGATTTTCCGTGGGATTGGAAACGTGAAGCGCAATTGGTTTCCATTGTTAGGTATGTGCTAAGATTAACAACCTTTTAACGAGAATGGATTTACTGATATCGGCTCGTTGGCGGCATAAAAACAAATATTTGCTGTGGTCAAAGTAAGTGCACTTTGAACAAATCGCTTCGGAAAAATAAGTAAACTTTCTCACGGTAGCGGCAAAACAATAGTATTAACACAATGAGACACTGATAGGCTGACCAGCGTTAAATGTGGGCCATTCTGGAGAAGTAAGAGTCCAAGACAGGCTCGCCATTGACAACTAAAAACATCCTCTGGAAATCAATCACCTTTTTAACTCGTCAAATGGCGAATTTATTTGCAGACTCGAATTTTAAAACATGAAACTCTCTGCCATCGAATCCTCACTAGCGTTGGTCGTTTTAGGTGTAAAGATCTGTTAAAAATAGCTTTGGAATATTTTTAACAACCGCAATGCAATTCGAAATAGTATCAGCACCTAAATTTAGCAAGGGAACTTTTGAGATATTAGTTTTGCTTGTACGTTTTCGGGTCCAATGAAAGGGTTTCGATTCACTCGCCAAGGGTCAAGCAGTTTGGATATGATAGCTGCTCTTAAGTTATATTCAATTCATAAGAAACACACCTTTGACTTAGGTTAGGGGTTTTAGTAATATTGCACCCAGTTTAAAACTATTTGCAAAAAGTACTATTGCGAGTCTTGAAACAGTTTCTGGAAGGAATCAATGGTTTCATAAATTACCATTTAGGAGTTTGACCTGAGATAGCCTTTGATGGATCAGTGGAATTTGGGATAGCCTCATTCTTCGTTTTGAATACAGCAAAGTCAATTCGTCAGCTCAATTGTATTTCAATGAGTTATTTATACTAATTGGATATATTTGAACATGAGGACAAATTAAAACAAAAACACTGGTTTAAGTTACTATTGATTAACTTACATATGAAAATGTGAGTACACACCCTCAGCAAACGTTTTAAGATGCAAATAGATAAAAGCCCGAAGATCGATTGTAGTTTTGAGCTGTTTGATATGGTGAAAATTGAAGTAGAATTGTTGTATCTATTTAGCTATGTACTTAGGGATATTTGCTAAGTTATTTTCTTATTCAAGAGTTATTCTTCAGGCTGAAACGTGCTCACAGCTTCTCTCAACACTTCAATAAAACCAACTGAGTAATAAGATCCTATATTGATTTGACAGCAAACACGAGTTCATTGTAATAGCTATTCACTGACTGCCGATCTAAACAACATCCAAAGGAACAGTCTAATTACATTAAGTGATGAATTGTGTGGTTTTTTTGCGTCGTAATGGTGACTGTTTTCATCTCCCATCTTTATTCTTCTACTGTTAAATTATGTTCTGGAATGAATTACGTTGCTCACAAAGTATGGCTACCATTTTATCTCCATACAATTAACTTAGATATTGGTTAATCAAGCAATCTTTGGTGAGTGTGTCAGAAATTAGTGGAATTTTTTTGTCGACTTTGCACGTGTCTTAGAGTCAATAAGCTAGTTGTGTCGAGACAAATCCAATATCACAGTGACAACACACGCAAAGAACAGCTTACTGTTGAAAAAGTTGCGCCGTATCGAAATTGACTTAAGGTTGTGGCTCACTAGTGGCAAAAACTTTTTCAAAGACGGAAAAGTTTAAAACAACGATGTAAAAGGGGTGATGACCGTTATCATGTTACTTGTATCAATTCTTGACTTGCGTCTTGTTTTAATTTGATTTAAGCTTCCTGTTCATTAAGAAACTTGAAAAAAAAAATTACGTGTCACATTCCAAAAGTTTCCTTGATATGCTCTTTTGAGCTAAGTATATATCGCATCTGGCGGTCATTTCGATTGCACAATTTAGAGAAATTTCAATTCCGGCCTCTCGCATCAAGGAAACCCAATTTCATTCTCCAAAACTTCCTGCATGCCACTGAAACTAATTCGGTTGAAAGAAGGGGAAAATAATAAGAATAAGCAGACCTCAATGTATATCCCTCCCAGCATTAGTTAAAGAAACAGAGGTTCAACCTTTGCGGTGTATGGACGAAATTTTGATCATGTGACCATTCAACGGATACACCTTCGGTAATACTCTCACATAGTACGAGTGCGTTTAAATACTTTACAGTCTTCACAAAATGAAATTTCTGATTTTTTCCTAAATTCTTGTTAATGACTTCTTGGAAATGACAGGAATTACAACTTTTGGGGAGGCTCAAGGAAAACTGCAACGTCATTTGAAGTGTTTCCTAGACATTTCCTGTTGTGTGTCTGAATGAACGTTCCTCTGAACGCTATTAAATAACGCCCATTCGAGCCCAACTTGCTTATGATTCCTCTCTACCGACTACAAAGTCCCTGCAGGAATACATCCGTGTTATACCTTTTCAAACCATTCCATTCGTTTATAACTTAGAAGCAGCAACAAATTGTAGTTATTAAACATTGAAGTTAACTTGTTTTTTTGTCAAACAACGAAGTAACATTGGATATAATGAGACTGATTACTGACTCATGAACCAGAACGGTCATAAGGCGATTTCACATGGCTACATGCTTATTAATATGTACAAATCGATAAATGTACCCTCGGGACAAAATGAATATGTCCTTTCTAGGAAATAGGTTGTGCTATATTTATAATATACATGGGAGAGCGTTTCCTATTTATGGTTGTGTTAGTCTTGAAGTATCGCTGATGTCCCCATTAGTGGAGATTAATAAGGAAAAGGCAGCAAATTATAAATAGTAGACAAATAAACAGAACAAACTTTTTTAAGAGTTATAACACTTTAAACAGAAGAATAAACAGCAACATACATGTCACAGGAAAGTGAAGCTCACATAAGGATTTAATAACAATAATCATTAATTCATCTATGTATCTCAAATGTTAGAGCCACCATGAACAATTCCACGAGAAATTCACTCCGCCCAGTAATTTTCATTTGAATTGTCACATTTTGGGAGTTAATTCACAGATTCAACCACTTTGTACTGGTAACACATAATAAACAGTGTCCGACAAGAAAGTTTATTACCGTCCTACGACTGATAAAAGTCATGGATGCCACAAAATCCCTCTTTCATTAAAGATGCTTAGAGAGTAACTTTTGTTTGACTTAAAGATTTCATTTACCGAGACTCGAATGCTATAAACAGAACCTTAAGAAAGTACTGCTCAATAGGTTTCAGTCAAATATCTTCACTTTATGGGTTCGTGCAAATATTCAGAGGCTAATCAGAAAGATATTCTTTAAAAAGCACACTACACTGACCAAATCCTGACCTATAACAACAATAGGACTTATCTAAATGTGGAAGGCCTTTGTCAATATATGCATGCCACGTGTGTAGACTCAGAAATTGCGAAAGAGTTTTTAAGAAAGCGTTCGCGAAGTCACTCTCAGAAACGACTCAAGTGTAGTCTTAAGTAGTCAGGGCACTTAAAGGGGAATCGTGGCAGCGTATGATGAAGGGGAAACGGCTTTGGTTTGTGGCCTGTGAGAAACAAAACGAAAGTGGAGGGAATGAGAGGCTAATGCACTAGCCCAAGAGTCTTTTAAGTAGCTCAAAAAAAATTTTGATGAGCAGCATTGATTACAGTTCTTCTGAAATTTGAATTTCCCAAAAAACTTCACTTGCCCTTCGGGCAAGTTAAGAACAGGATTCACCAGCCCGATTGCAAAATCCACTAGCCCCAGGCTATCGAACACGACTTTCTTTGTACGCTGCAGTCGCACACCCAACTACAGTCAATCCCCGCTTTACGGACATCCGCTTAATACGGACACCTCATCATTATGGACAGTTTGCCTTGCCACTGGGGAAAGAAAGCCCTTACACTTTCTCTTTATTTCAAACCGCT